AAACATAGGCAAAAATGTTAAATTTGAGTACCGGTAAATGAATGTATGTTTGTATCACATTTTCATTATATTACACTGGAGTTACTCTCTTGAAACATACAAGAGAGGAAACCTGTGGAAAATTATGAATGCCATAAAAAATTGAAGTATTGTTGTTCAGCTTTGTTAATGATAATTATTTTATTTATTCTTTCCGCATCAATGAATTCATATACTTTGATACACCTAAGGACGTTGTAATATGAGGAAAAGTTGTGTTTACATTTCATTTTTTCAAACTATATGTCATTGAGTTATGTAAAGATAAAACACATTTATACCGTAAAGTAATTTTAATTTATTATTTCAACTCTCTCAAAAGTGAGAAGGGACTTTTATAATTCAATACTTACTAGTGCTTCACTATTGGTTTCCTTCAATAGTTATCTCAAGCAATACACAATCACGTGGTCTGTGTGGTAGTTTCTCTATTCATTCATTTATATTAACCGAAGCAAAATTGACAATGGCGACTATGTAGTCTGTGTAGCCAGTAGCCAGTAGCCAGCACACTACAGTCAGTGACATTTGCTCTGGACCTAGGCCAGCATCTCGACTGTCGCATTCGCTAACTTTCCGATTCTCCGAAATTCAGATGGAGATTCTCCAACAGGCCGTTATAGACGATGTCAAGTATTCAACAGTTACATTTCGTAGAATCACGTTTAGTGCTCATTGTGAATCCAGATTTAAACTAGGGATTTGATTGGAGGTCATACATTTGACCAGATCTGGTCAATTTATTCCAATACGCCTCGAAGAATAAACGATCGTTTGATCACCCCGGCACAACCGAGTTTGTTTGTGAGGCGATTCTACGTAGCTGTCTGCGTATACGGCCAATGTTGTCTTGGTAGTTAACACCAGGCAGGGAACAAAGCTGATGCGTTTTGTCTACAAACACTCTGGGAAAACAAACAGAGAATTGACATCGTACGTGGCATGTGTGTCTTGTGAGGACGAGTAGAGTTACTTATACATTACACGCACTCTCTTGCAGATGTATCTTACTTGAGGATCAACTGAAGACTATTTCATGGTATATGTCCCTCCGGTTTATTTAAGCTGCGTTAGGTTGTTTTGGAATTGTTTCTTGTTATTTTACCACTTTGGTACTTTAACTAAATACATTTTTTTTATTATTGCTCGTTCGGTAAAACATTGTTGGTATTGTGTGCTGAAACAGCCGACGTCAGTGCATCTTGGGCACCAAAACAGGTTTCAGATTTTTGAATGAGATAGGAAGGTTACTCACAACAACCAAAGTCAATTATCACTAGACACTAGACAAAAAAATTTGATTTTATTGACATGTTAAAATATTTTACGATACTTGTAGTTCATAAACTCTCCTAAATTGAAATGTGAATAAGCAAATAAACGACGATTGAGAGTTTACTTGACGACCCGCGCACTAGTAACACACTTATTACTCTGACAGTTGTATAACAGACACAAAATAATTATATACCTGGTATGGTAGTTGTGTTGTTTCCATTTAAATCCTTCTACCTTTTACAATGCTCACCTGTTACTTTAAACAAATTATGAAAAACTAATCTATGCTTAATGCTGGTTAAGGTTTCAATACTGTATTTTAATCTATATTCAGTCTAGTGTACATTCTGCAATAACAAATGTAAATTAAATCTCTCATACGTCCTTTTTGTTATGCTTTCCGGAAAACATCTTCAAGTTGAGAAGTTGCTTTTCAACGACGGCAATCTTTATGGAAACAAAGTATTCCTATTTTATGATGAATTATCTTGCTTCTTTGATTGTATACGATGTTTGATCAGTGTTGGTTGCCTGGATAGACAATAACCACCAGATGATCTCATCAACCATGACTCGACTTCTTCTACTTCCTGTTAGGTTTACGTTTAGTTATCAGACACGCTCTAGAGCACTTTATCAGTAAAAAACCATGACCTGATTTATCGATATTACATAGAAACAACGGAGTTACTAAGCAATATTTCCTCATTTTATACAAGTTTGCCGCTTGGAGTTGGTTGGAGCAATCCTATTGTGGTTATATTGGTAGTTTTTACTATGCCAGTAACTGTTCAGTACTAATTAAATCCTTAACCATTATTACAATCTTTATTTGAATTTAATTATTATTTTTGCCTCGAAACCTAATTAAAATGATATTTAAAACATTGAAAATAATAATTTGTCTTACACTTGGGTTAGGATCAGTAGGTTGACGCATTATTAAATCCATTGGTTTGGTAAATGGAGCGTCCAAACATACGTGAGTGAGGGATTATTTAATAGCCAAATGGGTGCAGTTGCTAGTGGCTACAGGTGTATTGCGAAGAGCCCCTATAGATCCCTAGGGTAACTTATAAGATAAGTTATGTACATTCATGACTACCATAAAAAGTTAACTTGTGGTCCTAACATGATTACATTATAACATTAACTTAACATTATTTATCAAGATCAAGATCCGTTACTCTGTCGACATGCAGATGTACCTTTTATCAGTTCATCAATTAAATAGATCTGCTCACTTAAGATCAACACCACAAGTATAATTGCCTCAAAACATTTGAAATTTCGAAAAATATATAATGAAGGAGACTAAAAGCATCAAATTCAAGCATATTAGTGTAACACACACTAATTAAATGAACATAAAAACACGCACCCTCCTCAGACCCTCTATGCCTAGGCGTGTAAACACCAAAAATGTTGATACATGATGTCTTCTACTTGCAGACTTCCCATCTCTAGACCTGGTACAATTATATTATTAGACTCACAGCCATATTTGTGTCTGCACCCCCTAGGGGATATTGGGTAACAGGCGACGACACCCGCATGGGAGAGGGAAGGTCACCCTTCAATTAGCTTGAGAGTGAGTGAGAGGAAGACATAGAGATTCGCTTGAGAGCGAGAGAGAGGGACGACCATTATTCACTTAATATCACCCTGGCATTGACATTTTCTACGTCCGACGCTGCACTCGCTTGCCCACTCTATAATTCTCTCTTTTTTTGTTAGATAAATCATCTGTTGTAACCGTTTTGAAAGTATCTACTCCAAACTTGCCTTCTTGTGCATGATCCTTTGTTTTTTGTGTGAAAAACTAACATTAATACCTCATAAAACTGCTTAAAATGTTCAGTCCCACTGTCACACATCATCATGGTGCAAACTATGTACAATTCTTTTCTCCATACCAGTTGTGGTTTTCGCTTTACAAGTGGTATATGATTATTAAGTAATTTCAACGAATTAAACTAACTGTATAAGTAAGGGTATTTTATTGATCAAAAATAGAAATAATTTTCCGTTTGAATCTTCATGAAGTTCGTAGTTTGGCAGGATTACTCGAAAATGTTGACGAAAACAATACAAAGTAAAAAGTGATAACTTAGGAGACTCGTGAACAAGTCTATCTGAATGTTTACAAGTAACATCAGCTGATGTCACAAGGTCTAGGCGATCAGCTGATGTTGTTCACAGCTGATTGTAATTACGGTGCGTGATACAGGTTGTGCAACCTCATTACAATAACTACAACATTCCCTCTGCTCCTCCGGTGACGTCATCGTCATCCTTGCAACACCTTGGCGCACGACACACAGTGGGAACTGATTAGTGAACACGCTTTAGTCGCGAGGGTAATTATTTGGTTGTCTACGAGAAACTAAATTTCAAACATTTTTCATAATTGTATATAATTTCAAGAATTTACTTTTTCTTTAAATATCCTCTAGAATTGTCTTTTACTTATAATTTTTGATGTTTTCAAAATGCTTAAAAAGTTGTAACTACGTTTAGTCTTTCATCTTTTACTTTAGTACATACTTCTGTAATTTACTCTAAATATGAAAGCAGGGTGAGTGTTGAATAGAGTGAATTATCTGTGTTGCTTTGTTAAGAGTAGCCTTTAATTTAGCTAGGATCATATTAATTTTTAAAGCCCTTTATAACAAGTAAGCCCTTGGGATTACTTTATTCCCTACTGTTTCAAATGTTTACTCTCTGAATCTTTCTTCTCTTTCATCGCCAGTTGTGTAGTGTATTTCATCAGTCGTGATAAATTAATTGCCACTCTTCCAATACACTGTATTACCACTATACAGAGAGCTTATACATTGACTCTATGGTGTAAGATATCAAGTATTCCTGGGGCCATGTTTCGTACCATCAAAAAGCTTCTGACTTTTTTCAGGATGTAGTAACCTTTGATTATTGGTTAATCATATAACAAATATAAAATACCGAGGTCAAATTGACCTGAGATTTACTTGCCTCTTTTGCTGGGACTGAAAGCTGAAAGTCAGTCGCAGCACTAATGAAGGGGCGAGGTGGGACTAACTATCCAGTATTTTAATGGGATTGGTCATCCAACATTTGAAAAGTAGGTAAAAGTATGTATCGTAACGTTTATAAAATGTATTATTATCTGGTTAGGTTTGGTTTGAACTCAGCTAAACAATACAGTTCTTTCTTAAAAGCTATATATTTTTTTATAAAAATTTATGTTTTAGTTTCAATGTCAACGTTTTGCCTGATGCACACATACTACCAGTATCTCACATTGCCCTGTTTTTGAACAACAGTGCGAGTGGTAATAGGGGACTATGTGTCCAACACCGCTCTTGGATAGTCAACCCTGGGACTGATTATCCTACAACCATGTAGTTGTTGTGTAGTACAATGTAGTTGTTGCAGGGACATGAGTGCTGTGTGGTGGCTGTGACGACAGATATGGCTTGGTGTCCAACACCACCCTTGGATAGTCAAATCTGGGACTGATTGTCCTACAACCATGTAGTTGCTGTGTAGTACAATGTAGTTGTTGCAGGGACATGGGTGCTATGCCGTGGCTGTTACGACAGATATGACTTGGTGTCTAACGTTGCCCTTGGATAGTCAAATCTGGGACTGATTGTCCTACAACCATGTAGTTGCTGTGTAGTACAATGTAGTTGTTGCAGGGACATGGGTGCTGTGCCGTGGCTGTGACAACAGATATGACTGCCAGAGAAATAGTGCTGGACGGAGGGTCCCCGTGGGGGTTCCGGATGAACGGGGGCGCGGATGTCGGCCACGCCCTCCGAATATCAAGGGTAAGTCTTTATCGATTTTCTCTTTGTTTTCCTCCTAGAGGTAAGTAATTGGACGTGGTAACGACGGGGAGGCATACAGTAATTTACTTAGCAAGGTTGTTGCTCGTTCCTGTACTCTTGTTATTAGCCTAAATTTGGTGCAAAAACTTTTCGTGTTGGTTGTTGGTGTATTTTGTGAAAAACTTAGTATTCATTTACGTGATCTTTAATACATACTAGGAATATTCTAAGAGGTCATTCTTTTGAATAGTTGGTGTCCAATGATTATTGATTAATTGAATCAACCTCATCTGACGTCTGCATTCACATCCTCTATTGTGAACGAGTCTTTAGTAAAATTATATACTAAAGGAAGGTTTAAGCTCTGACTATTTCTGTAAGAATTGTAAATTATAACAGCGCTATAAATCTAGTGAATAAACGATTTATCTGGTGATGTGTCATAGACTTTTTAGAAACCTAAAAAAAACTTATCATCACTCTAACTCATTGCATCGAACTATAAAACCTCTCACTGCTTGTGAAAGGTAAACGGATGCCATTTGATTTGATATTCACAACCAACAGAAGCCGTTCAACGTCGTAGACATACGTCAAGTCCAGGACTTTCCACATTGTTTACTTGAAACTGATATTTCCATGCTCAAACTAACCTGAGAAATATAGGTCAGTTACTCATCATAAAGTAAAATCCAGTTCAAACAAAAAGTGGAAACTGCTTCGCTTCAAAATATATTCATGATAAATACGAGTAGGCTGAATTAACTGTTCATGTAGTCTATTATCTTCCATTAAAATGAGCATGGCAATCGGATGAAAGAAATAGGTGGTCACGTGTTATATGTTTTTCAAGACGATTTTTCCTATAAAAACTGCCAGAACTTTTATTTGCGCGTGTAAACTAGCTGTTCTGAATTATATTCAGTTTTAATCGACCACTTGATTCCCATTCGTAGGACGGGCCAACAGCTAGTATTCCATAAAAATGAGCATGGCAATACGGTGATTATTACATTATGTGATTAGTCAGTCAACAATGATTATTGATTTTTTAATTCCGTAGTTATCTATGTTTGGGATACATATAGCTCATTCCTATCCAAAACGCAATAGAAAATTTAGTTCCTAATTGGCGATTAGTACACTCGTATATTATTCCAGCAACGACTTTTTACCATATTTACTTTGCACGTCACTGTCGATGATTTCCAAGTAAGAACATGGATATTACACATATCGTATTACAAGCAGCGTCATCATTTTCCCTAACGCACTATCGCTTCGTGCGACAGAAGTAATTTGTTGAAATATTGCGGCTCTCGATGCGGCCAACTGCGGACATTACCATGAAAACGCCGTTCCTCAAATGTCGCCCAACTTCGCAACGGATCTGGGTTACATTGGAATGTGTCATTTCATCATCAATTACAATTCGCATGTGTTTTATTTTTCGAGCTGTCTCTAGACTTCACTCAGTCATCAATAACTGAATACTGAACTGTATATTAAACAGGCACATACGTTAACTAGTAACTGACTGATTGGTAGATTTATTGTATGATTTCTTTCTTATTGACAAACGGTATCATTTTTTCCTAAGTAATAAAACACATAATTTAAAACACATAATAAAGAGACAAGAAAATTTAAATAATGTTCTCACTACAGACAAATTATTGTAAACAATTGAAAAACTAGTAGCAGTTATTCCCTCACCTCATAACTAGGTCAAAAAGTCGAGTAAATGAGAATAGCTCTTAAAGAAAACTTAATTGTTCTACATATTGTAGACCAATTAACTGTAACAATTAATTTACGGTTAGTCTAAACAATTAAGACTGGCTGGGTAGCTGAGTGGTTATAGTGCTCGCCTAGTAATCAAAAGGTCGCCGGTTCGATCCTGAGAAAAGTTAGTAGCTTTTTGATGGTTCGAATCTGGACCCAGCTGTTCCTGATCATTGGGCTTTAAATAAATGATCCTGACTAATGAAACCGCTGATCTTAGTCAGTAACAAAGCTACACAGGTCATCACACACCATTCTACACTCATTCTTCACTCATATTTGGGTTAAAATACGCACCTAGGTGGCGTCCCCATCTCAATAATTGATTGATTGATATTATAAAAGTCTTTACTTTGTAACGTTACTCATGCTTTCACATTAGCGATAATTTTCTTACTGCTTTTCCTTCAATAACGTAATACGTTAATTAATAGTTAATTAATATTAATACATTAATATTTAAATCATGTTAAATTTATATAGCTCAATTTCCCTCTTACATCTCTTATTACCTGACTAGGTTCATCAGTGCCTATTTGAATTAGTTTGATACTTGGTTTTAATAGAGTTAATACATTGCTGAACATTAATTAACGATTTAATTTACATTTAGGGCCAGCTACTAATACTAAAATGAAATGTGTAGTCATTGATTTAGCAAATTTAGCAAATGCCCTTAGCAATGCTCTTAAAATGTAGTGATCTAACTAAATTATCTAAAGGAGAATGTCGTCTACAATTTCCTTTCTATATTTATTTTCAAATTTACAGTTTAGGGGAGTTAGTTTTCTAGTACACTTCTTTATAAATTCAAGCTTAAGTGTTTTGACGGTATAGATTCTATTAGAAAGCAGAAAAGTTTATCCAACCATTCATAACACATAATTGTGTCATAACTTTGTCAAGGATATTGCAATATTGACTGCCATTTTGATTGTGTATCCATTCGTTGATAGTAAAAATCTTTTGAGATATTGCCATCAAAACTGTACTATATTTGTATAAAGCTAATACTGTATATGGTAAAATTTAACTACATAAAAATATAAATGGCAAACTCTAACCATAGTATAGTATAGTATACTGAATAGTTTTACTTTCATAATTTGATTTTAAAACTAAAATTTATATAGCTTTTGTGCAGAGTGTAGTTGCTGATATGTTGTTTTTAACTCAATCAACTGTTTCAAATGTTTACTCTCTGAATCTTTCTTCTCTTTCATCGCCAGTTGTGTAGTGTATTTCATCAGTCGTGATAAATTAATTGCCACTCTTCCAATACACTGTATTACCACTATACAGAGAGCTTATACATTGACTCTATGGTGTAAGATTTCCCACGTCCCCTCTGTTGCCCCCCCCCTCACCTATAGTGGACCAAGGTACCACAGGCAGCACTAGGCAACTAGTAGAGGACTTACTTTCTCGCAATCAATCCTTCAATTAGAGGCACATCGCGTGTCGTCGTTTAATTTTCTCCCGTCAATTGTCGGTTCGTGTCCTTTGCAATTGGACAGGATTCCCGTGTGGATGAATTGTCTCATTTTCGCTGAATTCTAACTTAAGATTTGGGACCAATTGAGTTCTGAATAGTTTACTTGGTTACACGTTACAACTGTGTATACCCCCCTGCTTGAATGCTGTCTAAGAACACAACTTGGTTTAGTTATAGACGATTTCTTCGGACCCCATTGACCTCATTAAAAAGTTTGCCATCTTGATTGTTTATTATTTCATACGTATTACACAGTCCGGTGGTCTACAGGTAAGTCCTAGGATGGAGTCTGTAAATGCGAAGGCCACACCAGAGATCCACGTGATCTTGCAGCACGAACCAGGCCTGTTTACATAACAGTTCTGGTAAACAAATCTTGCATCAAAGCCAAAGATCCTGTCTGGTGATTACTTTGATTCGGCCGTCTTTATTCTCACCCCCCCCCCTTCCTTTTTTTAACCCTAATATGTTTTACGAGTCTAAAAAACTTGAAAAGTGGGTAGGCAATTGTTTTTTTATTTATAGTCATAACCAAACGTTGTACTCACTGGGGTATTTATCGATCCCTCGGCCATTAAAACCATATTAATGGATAACTACCAGTTATAAGATAATATACAGTATAGTAGTGTTAAAAACAGATCCTATTTATAATAGAAAAGCTCTTTCTTTGCAGAAGATAGCTACCGTATATTAATATGTTAAAACACAAAAATCTATCTAATATAATTATTTCCTCCTGCCAGTAGTGTAGTCATTGGAGCAGTCATAAAATATTATCTTGTAATGTAACTGTAGTTATCACATTACAAGTGAGGTAAAATTTCTGGTCTTATGTCAGAAGTGATGAGGTCAGTCCCATAATTGGCGGGTGTTGAGTATACAGTGTAGGCTAGGGCCAGATGGACGACGGACCTGGCCTTGTGTCAGAAGTGATGAGGTCAGTTTAGTCAGTAGTCAGTCCCATGATTGACAAGTGTTGAGTATACAGTGTAGGCAAGGGCCAAACGGACGACGGACCTGGTCTTGTGTCAGAAGTGATGAGGTCAGTTTAGTCAGTAGTCAGTCCCATGATTGACAAGTGTTGAGTATACAGTGTAGGCAAGGGCCAAACGGACGACGGACCTGATCTTGTGTCAGAAGTGATGAGGTCAGTTTAGTCAGTAGTCAGCCCCATGATTGACGGATGTTGAGTATACAGTGTAGGCAAGGGCCAAACGGACGACGGACCTGGTCTTGTGTCAGAAGTGATGAGGTCAGTTTAGTCAGTAGTCAGTCCCATGATTGACAAGTGTTGAGTATACAGTGTAGGCAAGGGCCAAACGGACGACGGACCTGGTCTTGTGTCAGAAGTGATGAGGTCAGTTTAGTCAGTAGTCAGTCCCATGATTGACGGGCGTTGAGTATAAAGTGTAGGCAAGGGCCACACGGACGACGGACCTGGTCTTGTGTCAGAAGTGATGAGGTCAGTTTAGTCAGTAGTCAGCCCCATGATTGACGGGTGTTGAGTATACAGTGTAGGCATGGGTCAGACGGACGACGGACCTGGTCTTGTGTCAGAAGTGATGAGGTCAGTTTAGTCAGTAGTCAGTCCCATGATTGACGGGTGTTGAGTATAAAGTGTAGGCATGGGCCAAACGGACGACGGACCTGGTCTTGTGTCAGAAGTGATGAGGTCAGTTTAGTCAGTAGTCAGCCCCATAATTGACGGATGTTGAGT